TACTCTGCCTTGACACTTAAGGTCTCTAAGCACGTATATTAGATTAGTAAATACACTTTTCATCAACATTTAAAAATTAAAATATATATATATACGCTTTCTGGTTATGAGATGGGAAGAAAGAGTGAGATAGACGTGGTGGGGGGGGACAGTGACCGTGAGAGACAGAGAGAGAGAGAGAGAGAATTACAGGAGAGAGAGACAGAGCAATGAAATAAATTGAGAGACAGATATAGCCAGAGAGCAAGACAAAAAAGAGAAATAGATAAAGATAAAGACAAAGAAGTAAACAAACAAATCTACAGAAATACAACAGGGAGAGATAGAGACAGAGAGATGCAGAGAGATACAGATAACAGATCGGAAAACAGAGAGAGAGAGAGAGAGAGAGAGAGAGAGAGAGAGAGATACCGGAAAAAAGTTAATAGTGAAGGGAAATGGATGGGAAGAGATGGGAAGGGGAGTAAGAGTGAATGGAAGAGAGAGTGTATGGGAGAAGGGGAAGGGGAGGGAAAGAAAGGAGGATGTGGGACATGAAATGAGTGGGGAAGAGAGACGGAGAGGCAGAGAAAGAGAGGAATGGGGTAAAAGGAGCGAGTGCTGGAAGGAGGGTGACGGAAAGGATGATAAAAGAATTGGAAAGAAGAAGGCAGTTAAGCGGAAGGGGAAGAAAGAGAGAAAGCGATGAGGGACAAGGAAAAGAAGAGGAAACTGTGGGAAGCGGTAATTAAGAGAGAGTGACAGACGAAGAAAGTGGAAGATGATATGGAAAAGGCATGAGAGATGTGAAAATACTAGAGATACATGGAAGAGAAAGGAGAGGAAGAATAAGAAGAAATGATCGATGAAAAACGGAAAAGACGAAGAGAAGGAGAGGGGGAAGAGTTAAGAAAAATGTAGAGAGAAGAAGAATTAGATGAAATAACACCAACAAAAGATGAAAAAAAAATTGGAATAAGTAGGAGAGAAAAAGAGTGAAAAGAGGGAAATGAATAACAGGTGACAGCAAACAGGAAGAAGAGATAGATAGAGAGAAGGAGAAGAAAGAGGGAAAAAAGGGCTCCTGGTGAGTTTATGGCAGACCCTCACATCATCCGTGTTACGACTCTCTCTCTCTCTCTCTCTCTCTCTCTCTCTCTCTCTCTGTACAGGAAGAGAGAAAAGAAACTGACCCTCTATCGCCAGATGGGGTACAAGTGTCTGTTTCAATAGTAAATGAAAGAAATAAGACTAGAGACGAGCAGAAAGATAGAGAGAGAGAGAGAGAGAGAGAGAGAGAGAGAAATGGGAGGGGGGGAGTACGGAAGACAAAAAAGAGAAAGGGATAGCGCGCGATAAAACGATAGAAAGTGAGAAAAAGGAAGAGAGAGAGAAGGGGGGAGGGAGGAGGTAGGCCGACCGTCTAGCACCAGCTGGGTTACAACGTTGAAGTAAATAACAACTGAAGAAGTTTTCCCTACTTAAGAGATGCGAGGAGAAGGAGGGATATGTCTCCCTTCTCTCGCCACATTCTCAAAGATTGCTACGGCCATTTTCCTCTCTCTCTCTCTCTCTCTCTACTTGTTTTATACTTGGTTTGGAGGAGAAACATTGCACCGATCTTTTGAAAATCCAGATGTTAGGTGCGGGTACACAAACACGGTAGACTATAGCTGTAATGGCGGCCGATATGTAGGGAAACTCTACCATATATACATACATACATACATACATACATACATACATACATACCCAATAAGTGCACGCGCAAAGCTAATACCGTACACACACACACACACACACACACACACAGCGTCTGGGTGGGAGACGGTAATGATGCTCTAGTTTGGTTGCCAAGGAGAAGAGAGAGAGAGTGAAGGAGAATATAGGAAAAAAGAGAGTGCAAGAGTATTAAAGAGAGAGGAAATGAATGAGAGAGAGAGAGAGAGAGAGTGCGTGTGTGTGTGTGTGTGTGTGTGTGTGTGTGATGCGGATTAAAATTATTGGGAAGGAGTGAGAAATTATAGAGAATGACTGAACAAAAAAGGGAGTGAGAAAGAGTATCGAAAAGTCTTCATATATGACATCATTCACCGGAGAAACCTAACAACATAAAAATACACTTCAATGATGTATTTGATCCAGGTTTTTACGAAGAATCAAATACAAAAATCCACGTCGCCTTTGAGTTATCACCCCACCCCCCCCCCAAAAAAAAACAACCATAAGAGTTTCATTTCAACTTTGATCACTTTTGACCTTTTATAGTTGACCTTAATTATCCCCTCCTTAGAAACAACAACAACTTCATTTCCTGCTGTATATTTATTGGAGATATGGCTGAAAGAGAGACAGATATAGTAAGCAGCGAGACATACAGACATAGATATAGAAAGCAGAGAAAGACAATGAGAGACAGATATAGAAAGCAGAGAGACATAAATACACAGTTATAGAAAACAGAGAGATATAGAGACACAGATAATGCAAAAAAATTGGCAAATAAATAGAGAAAGAGAGAGAGAGAGAGAGCACGATAGAAGCTAAAAATGTGAGAAAGAGAAAAATAATAATGCCGACAGAGATAAGGAGAACAGAGAGAGGAAAAAAGATAATGAGATACAGAGAGATTTGGAGAAAAAGGGTAAACAGAGATATTGGAGATAAAGAAAGATGATGGGAAATATTGAACTACAGCGAAGGAAAAACTGAGGGGAAAGAAAGAAAGAAAGAAAGAAAGAAAGAATAAGGGATAAATAGAGAGAGAAACAGAAAGAGACAGACAGATTAAACGACCCACAACAGCGGCTAGCCATCACCTTAATCGCATAGAGGAAAGAAAAGAGAGAATTGTGGAAGACGTAACAGGCAAGAAGGGAAAATCAGAAAGAGAAAGAGAAACATACATAAAGAAGAGCAAAACGAGCTAGAGAAATAATGTTTAAGAATACGCACACAAGAAGATAACAAAGAGAAAGACAGAAAGACAGGAAAGGACAGAAAAAGAGGGAGATAAAGAGCGAGAGAGTGACCAACACAAGACAAAATAAACAAATAGCCTATGGAAAAGAAAAAGAGACCCGAGAAGCAGAGAGAGAGAGGAACCTGAAAAGAGAGTGACTCGGAAATCGGAAAGAGAGAGTTGGAGAGACAATAACAAGCACTATACATCATACACAAGAAGTAAGCAGACAAGAAGACAGGAAAGGAGAGACAGTGATAGAGGTGATAGGAAGTACCAGCGAAAAAGAGAAAGAAAGAAGTGTATATATATATATATATATATATATATATATATATATATATATATATATATATATATATATATATATATATATATATATATATATATAGAGAGAGAGAGAGAGAGATTATCGAGTCACACCACCACCCACCCTGAGCTTAACACGATAGGAGTGGGAGGTGGAATGGGTGATGGGAGGAACAGTGTAGTGGGTCGACCAGGTAATTCCAATTAGTCACTGTGGCACCATTAGACCCCATGCCATAACAACGTAGGTAAGTGGCTCTCCCTACTCATTAACCACTAACAAAGAAAGGCACTTTCACCACTTTACTACACACCACTAATGAACCTTGGCACTTTGTTTTCTGCTCTATAGAAGGGGCAAATGAAAGGCTACTGCAGACTCTTCCTAACTACTGTATGACGGCACCTTTGCTGGCTATAACTAACAAACCCTGGCACCCTTGTAGACTTCTACTAAGAAACGATGGCACTTCTTCAGATGAATGGCATTCCTGCAAGCTACCTCTTACAAGCGATGGTACTCTTGCTGGCTACCTCTTACAAGCGATGGTACTCTTGCTGGCTACCTCTTACAAGCGATGGTACTCTTGCTGGCTACCTCTTACAAGCGATGGTACTCTTGCTGGCTACCTCTTACAAGCGATGGTACTCTTGCTGGCTACCTCTTACTCTTGCTGGCTATGGTACAAGCGATGGCTACCTCTTACAAGCGATGGTACTCTGGCTACCTCTTACAAGCGATGGTACTCTTGCTGGCTACCTCTTACAAGCGATGGTACTCGTGCTGGCTACCTCTTTCAAGCGATGGTACTCTTGCTGGCTACCTCTAACAAGCGATGGTACTCTTGCTGGCTACCTCTAACAAGCGATGGTACTCTTGCTGGCTACCTCTTACAAACGATGGTACTCTTACAGGCTACCTCTCACAAACGATGGCACTCTTGTAGGCTACCTCTTACAAACGATGGCACTCTTGTAGGCTACCTCTAACAAACGGTGGCATACTTGAAGGCTTCTACCAGCAAACTATATCTAGCTATTATTAAGAATGACTGTCACTACCTCTCCCCTACTGCTACTAACTGCTGCCAAGGACGGAATGCCTGTTTCCTGATCATAAGTGCTCATGGAGATGTTACCAAACGATCATATTTCTTTTAGGTTGTTAACACTAATCACTAATTTAATAAAACACTTCTGTCCCCCTGTTACTAACAACTAAAAAGGCGTAACTCTATATTTTTGTTAACAGTAAACACCAACAAACAGGAAACATGACCTAATCTGGCTGCCAACTCGTAAGCATGACGCCATGATGATTCCCGCTAACAAAACACAAACACCACTTACCTAAGAAAGTCTCGATATTGTTCCATTAACTGTGAACCTCTTTTCAGCCCTTTGGGCTACCTTTAACTACTAACAGATCGTAACACTCACTCTGAAGTTCCCCTCACTAAATGCTAACCAACTTTATCGCTTTATCTCTCTCTCTCTCTCTCTCTCTCTCTCTCTTTGAGCTGCTTGTTACTGCTAATGACTGACAAATCTTGGCACTCCAAATGGCTCAAACTAACCAATAACAAAGCACGGCACTCTCATAAGTTTCTGCTAGCTATGAAAAAAAGCATGACAAGGCTTGATTTGCTGCCTACCTCGGCTGATTAATCATGGTAGATACAGAAAGCGAAAAAAAGACGGGCTGATGAACAGTGAGACAGGAAAAAGAGACAGACAATACGATACTCACTAACGACGGTGAGGTTAACGTAGGCGGTGGTTGAGGGAGAAATGCGGTAATCGACCCGGCAGGTGTAGATGCCTTGGTCAGGAGAGTGAGCGGGCTCTAGCACCAATGTGGGAGGCTCAGATGTGGGCAAGAAGTTTGCTCGCCCGCCCAGCACACCCTCGTCCGCCCACCGCACGCCAGAGGTGAACTCCCCATCCCGTGCGTCGTAACTGTCCAGGGGAAAAAGAAGGTTATTGGAACCCCGACTGTGGAAAATTGACTGGAAAACTAAAATTTTGGCTGGAAAACTGGAAAGATTGGACTTGAACGTAGACCTAGAGTTTAAACTGGAAAAATAAAAATGTAAATAGAGAATCAGCGATGAGATAAAGAGAACTTAAGACTTGGGAATCTGGAGTGCTGTCTGAGAATTACTAACTGGGAAATGAAGTAAGTCTGTGAACTGACCGAAGAACTGGAGTTTTGAATGAAATAGGAAATTAAGCTGAAAAACTGGATCAGCGACTAAAGAAGTTAATCTTTAACTAAGAAGAACAGTCTGTAGAAGTGGCATAGAGAACAGAACTGCACCAATAGAAAACCATCCTGGAAAATTGAAACCCTCGGGGAAATGAACGAATTGGAATAATAAAACATTGACAAAAGATTTAGAGACTGTTCAGAATATTTAGAGCCTTGATAAAAGAGAGCAGACTGGCAAGGGGAATTCTTGACTAAGACAAAATACAATGGAGAACCTGAACCGTGACTGGAAAATTAAAGTCTTGAACTAGTTTACCATCAGGAAAAGTGAATCCTTGACTGGGGAACTGGAGCCATGATTGGGAAGAAGCGACTGGGACATTGACTGGAAAGAAGTAACTGGGACATTGACTGGGAAGAAGCAACTGGAACCAATACTAGACACAGTCGACTGAAACACTAAAGTCTCGATTGATGGGAACCAATTGGATAACTAGATCACTAACTGGAAAGAATAAACAATAAAACTAAATACTCGAGTGAAAAAAAATATACAGACTTGAAAACTGAATCCTTAACTAAAAAGAATCAAGTGAAAAATTGGGACCTTGACCGGATAACTGGAGTGTTTGCTGTTGAAAACCAACTGGAAAACTGATTGGGAGACTGAAGACTGGGTGGAAAACCTAGATCACCGGAGGAGAAATCTGGTGAAAAAACTTTAACCAAGACCCTTCTGCCATTGACTGAAGCTTTAATGGCGCTCAAACTGTTCCTTTCTCCCCTTTGCCTTCTCTTTATTTTTTACTTCTCTCTTTTCTCACTATTTATCTGTCCCCTTTCTCTTCCTGGTTCTGTATGTCTATCTGTCTGTGTCTTTCTGTCTGTCTATATTTCTCTTTTCCACGTTATCCAGTTATCCTTGCTTACCCTTTCTCTTTTTTTTCTCTCATTCTCCTATTCCCCCACCTCTCTCTCTCCCTCTCTCTCTCTCTCTCTCTCTCGCTCTCTCTCTATCTCTCTCTCTCAGACATAACTTTTATCATACCTCCTGTGGCGCCGCAAGCTGGAACATTTCTTACTGGAGAAAGAAACAGGAGAGATGCACTTATTGCCTTCCTTATCAGGTCGCTCCTCGGTATATGAAATTACGTAGCCTCAACTATCTCAACCGGGGCGAAAGTTTTCAAGAACTTTTCGTCACACGCAACAATCGCGATAAGGAAACTCTGTCTTGACATTCCGCCAGAAATTTTTTTAAGAGAAATGAGTTGGTAAGTGAATGAAACACAGACGGGAATGAATGAATGAATGCGAAATTAATACATTGAAAGCGTCACAGTAATGAGATTTTTTAAGTTTCGAAATCAAACATATTTTTAGATATAAGTTTGTGTCTTTAAATAAATTGAATAAATTGGTCGGGAATAAATAGATGAACTAAATAAGTGAATAAAGGGTAATGAAATACACTGTTAGATGACTAAAAAGGTAAATCACTGTTGAAATAAAAGAAATAAATCGGATGAAATAATTAAGTACATAAGAGTGGCAATCGAAAAAAAAGAAGAACCAGATAGCAAAATAATGAAAAATAAATTAACAAAAGAAAGAACATGATTTTAGAAAAAGTAAATACAACAATAGAATAAACTGAATGAGAAAACACACAGAAAACAACCCGCCGTTAAGGATTTGCCAAGGAGTAAATCTTTCCTAATTTATTTTCGCTGTAAGTCGGAGTGTCTTCCTTTTTTTCTTTATTTTTTTTATTTTTTTCCGCCTTTTCATTTTACTTGTATTTTTAATTTTTCTTAATATTTCCTTATTTTTCTTTCATTTCTATTTTTTCCTTTTCATTTTTCTTTCAACATTTTCTTACTTTTCTCCTTCAATTCTTTTCTCTATAGTTATGGTTTTATTCCTCTTTTATTTCTCTCTCGCTCTTTCTTATTTTCCTTCTTTCCCACAAATTTCCAACAGACAACCTGATTACTTACTTCATCTGTTGGACCCGATATATAAAAAGAAGAAGAAGAAGAAGAAGAAAGTGTGTGTGTGTGTGTGTGTGTGTGTGTGTGTGTGTGTGTGTGTGTGTGTGTGTGTGTGTGTGTATAACAAGACAGAGGAAAGACAAGAATAAGGAAGGTAAATAAGCGGCGAAGAAGAAGAGAGAAACACAGAAACTCACATTCAGAGAGAGAGAGAGAGAGAGAGAGAGGGGGGGACAATACTTACGAAATATGGTTTGGGAAGATCCACAAACTAGCTCCTTTAGACCCAACCAACTATTCCAACAAGACCATGATTGCAACACACTAATTAGGGTCAAAACGCAAATGGCCATAGGATGTTCAATCAATCACTTTAATTAGGAAGAGGAAGAGGAAGTGGGGGAAGGAGAAGGGGGGGCAGGAAGGAGAGAGGGAGAAAGAGGGAGAGGAAGTGGAAAAGGATGAAGGGGAGGAAGAGAAAGAAAATGATAAGGAGAAAAACGAAGTAAAGGGAGAAGAAAGGGGGAAAAGGGAAACAAGGAGGGGGAGAGGAGGACTTGAAGGAAAACATAAGGAAGAGATGGAGGAAAAGAAAAGGATGAGGCGGAGAAGGAAAAGAGGGAAGAGAGGGAGATGGTAGATGGGTGAGGTGGAAATAAGAAGGAGGAGGAAGAGTGGGGAGATAATAAGAAAAATATAAGAAGGAAGAGGAGGGGGAAGATAAGGAGGAGGAGGAGGAGGAGTTGGAAGACGATGCAAGTCGTAATGAAGGTACTAGTAGTCAAGAAGATAACAGCGAGAGGAGAATGAAGAGGAGGAGGAAGAAGAAGAGGAAATCAAAACAGAAGAGAGAGAGAGAGAGAGAGAGAGAGAGAGAGAGAGAGAGAGAGAGAGGCAGGTGAGAGTGAGGAAGAAATTAAAGTCGTAGCAGTGATGTGAAGGGAAGATGAGAGAGAAAGGAAGGGGGTGACGTGAGGGTGGAAATGAAGTGGGAGGGTAAGGGAAAGGAAGGGCCAAAAGGGATGGGGTGATGTGGAGGGGAGATGACGGCAGAGATGGAGAGAAAGAAGAGGTTAAACGGGAAATGGGTGATGTAAAGGGAAGTAAGGGGAAGAGGAAAGAGATCTAAAAGAAATGGATTGATGAAACAGCAATGAAGGAGAGGAAGGGCATAGTAAAGAGGAAAAATATAATGTAAAGGGAGGGAAACGAATTAAAGGGTGGAACGGTTTAAAGGGAAAGGGGTGACTTAAAGGGAGTTGCAAGGAATAAAAGGTAAAGACGTAAGGGGAAGGGTAAAGGGAAGGTAGTGACGTAAAGAGGAAGGGAAGTTTAAATAGGTATGGGTCGTGTGACGGTGTTAGGGAAGGGGAAAGAGAGAAGGGTTAAAGGGGTAGAGGTGATGTGAGTGTGTGAAGAGGATAGGGAGGGCGGGAGGGAGGAGTCAGGAGAGTGGAAAGTGTAAATGTAGATGTAGTGGAGAAGAGAGAGGGTGGTGGGGAAGGGAAGGGTAGTGGGGGAAGGAAGGTGAGGTAGGAGGGAAGGAGGGTGGTGAAAGGGAGGTAAGTCAGGAGAGGAAGGGAGAGTGGGGAAGGGAGGTGAGGAGGAGGAAGGGGTGGTGGTGAAAGGAGGTAAGCAGAGAGGAAGGAGAGTGGGGAAGGAGGAGGTAGGAGGAAGGGTGGTGGTGAAGGAGGTGAGGCAGGAGAGGAAGGATGGTGGTGAAGGAGGTGAGCAGGAGGAAGGGGTGGTGGTGAAGGAGGTGAGGCAGGAGAGGAAGGATGGTGGTGAAGGAGGTGAGCAGGAGTGGAAGGGATGGTGGTGAAGGAGGAGGCAGGAGGGATGTGGTGAAGGGAGGTGAAGCAAGAGGAAGGGATGGTGGTGAAGGGAGGTGAGGCAGGAGATGAAAGTGTGGTGAAGGAGGTGAGGCAGGAGGAAGAGGTGGAGTGAAGGGAGGTGAGGCAGGAGTAGAAGGTGGTGAAAGAGGAGCAGGAGGAATGGGTGGTGGTGAAGGAGGTGGAGGCGGAGAGGAAGGATAGTGGTGAAGGGAGGAAGCAGGAGAGGAAGGGATGGTGGGGAAGGAGGTGAGGCAGGAGAGGAAGGATGGTGGTGAAGGGATGTGAGGCAGGGGAGGAAGGAGGTGGTGAAGGAGGTGAGGCAGGAGGGAAGGATGGTGGTGAAGGAGGGTGAGGCAGGAGAGAAGGGATGGTGGCAAAGGGAGGTGAGGCAGGAGAGGAAGGGGTGGTGGTGCAGGATAGTGAGTAGAGAGGAAGGGGTGGTGAAGGAAGGAGGTGAGGCAGGAGTGGAAGGGATGGGTGAAGGGAGGCAAAGCAGGAGAGGAAGGGATGGTGGGAAGGGAGGAGGCAGAGGAAGGATGGTGGTGAAGGGAGGTGGAGAGGGGAGGAAGGGGTGGTGGTGAAGGAGAGGAGGCAGGAGAGGAAGGGATGGTAAAGGAGGTAACAGGAGAGGGGATGGTGGGGAAGGAGGTGAGGAGGAGAGGAAGGGGTGGTGGTGAAGGGAGGAGGCAGGGGAGGAAGGTGGTGGTGGGAAGGAGGGGTGGAGGAGGAGGAAGGTGGTGAAGGAGCTGGAGGCAGGATAGGAAGGGATGGTGGTGAAGGGAGGTGAGGCAGAGGAAGGTGGTGGGTGCAGGAGGTAAGCAGGAGAGGAAGGATGGTGGGGAAGGAGGGAGGCAGGAGATGAAGGGCAGCAGGGAGGTGAGGAGGAGGAAGGGGTGGTGGTGGGATGGAGATGAGGCA